GCACACTACTTTTATGCCGATCATTTACATCCAAATGTTATTTAATTTTCACAGAACACAACCTTTAAATAGATTTTAGAATATAAACTGTTTATCGTCTATTCAATAAGACTAAATAAAAAGTGTGCGCCTCATTGTGCATTAACTTGAATCAAGCCCAACAAATGTCTGTTTTAAAAACAGTGGATGCGTAATTCACTCCTTGATTTGCTTAATAAAAGCCTCCTTTGAGATCGTTTTGACAGACATGTTTATTGTGCATTTTAAACGTGTTTATTGCTAAGTTTAGTGTGGCAAAATAGAAGCGCAGCTGTAATTCGTGGGCAATGTATGTGGTTACCATGACAACCTCACGCACTTGCCACTGCCCTATGTGAATGTGAATATGTAGATTTACTATAGCAAAACTAAAATGTGTTTAAAAGTACGTCTGACCAAATCCACGGGTTCGGTTTGGCCCCCCCAAGCTCAAACGTCAAGCTACGCCTATGCTTGCCTGGTTAAATAAAGGTTAATAAATACATTATCTATGATATATTTTTAAACACTTCTGACAGTTGCAGTGGGAGCCTTCGTTGTAGACAGCTCCACGAAAGTTTAATTTTAGTTTCATGTCACATTCATCCAATGTAGACTTAACAAGTGTGAGTTCCCTTTTTTGAAAGTGACGACAGAATTTCCTTGGTAACTACTACGTGGACAACAACGTAATGTTAAAAGTACGTCTGACCAAATCCACGGGTTCGGTTTGGCCCCCCCAAGCTCAAACGTCAAGCTACGCCTATGCTTGCCTGGTTAAATAAAGGTTAATAAATACATTATCTATGATATATTTTTAAACACTTCTGACAGTTGCAGTGGGAGCCTTCGTTGTAGACAGCTCCACGAAAGTTTAATTTTAGTTTCATGTCACATTCATCCAATGTAGACTTAAGTGTGAGTTCCCTTTTTAATTGAAAGTGACAGAATTTCCTTCATGGTAACTACTACGTGGACAACAACGTAATGCGTAGAGTATGAAATGTCACTGTTTTTGCATGGCCATTGATCCAGTGTTTTCACTTTGCTGTAGGTGCAAACTCATCTTGAAAACCCAACTAAATACCACATCCAGCAGGCTCAGAGGCAGCAAGTGAAGCAGTACTTGTCCACCACACTAGGAAATAAAGTTGCCACACAAACTCTCGGTGTATCCCCCGTTCTGCAGTCAAACTCTGCTCCGGAGAGGGGCCTCTCTGCAAGCAGTGCTCCCAACAGCCCAATGGCACATCTTAACCTGGGCTCCAACAAAGAAGAGGTAATACACATCTTAAAAAATACACTGTGTGCTGATCATCTCATTCAAATGTAGGAGCTTCGTAAAGGCCAGTTCACACCAAGAATGATAACTATCAAGATAACTGTATTGGCGTCCAATAACATTCTACTGCAGTTATGTCATCTGCCAATTTTAATGCTTGAACTCTTTAACGCCAAAAGGATTCTGATTGGCTGTCAATGGTTTTATTGTTCACCAACTGGAAAAAACTGTTCTAAAAACTATATTCCTCTGTGGTGTTATTGTTATAGTTGTTTTGTGGACTATGAATTCCAATAATTTTTAAAACTTTCTAGTTATTGTTATAGTTATCATCATTTGTGTGAACATGCCTGTTTGTGTAAACATAAATTGAAAGTAGCAATTTTTTTTTTTTACATTTTTATATTGGATATCAAATGACGACCCAACACAGCATCATAATTGTTTATCATACAACAATAAACAAAAATGTCTTTAAAATGAAACGGAAGCATTTTTTCCCCTCCCTTGAAGTTGCTAAACCTATCTTACGATTTTAAAATGCACAATTATATGTTGTATAGTTGGAATTTATTGTTCATTTTGCATTTTTACCACTGTCTGCAAACCTATAAAAACATCTGCCCACCAGCTTAGAAACACTAATTTATGTTTTATGGTTACTGATTTATACTAAAGAAGTCTTTTCCACTTTTTCCCTCTTTTTCTAATTATTTCTGCACAAATATACATTAATATTCTTCCTAACAGCAGTATCACTTTACAATAAAGTCTCATTATTTAACGTTTGTTAATACATTAACTAACAATGAGCAATATATTTGTTGCAGTATTTATTAATCTTTGTCAACTTTAGGTAATTAAAATACAACTGTTCATTGTTAGTTCAAGTTAGCTCAGGTCCATTAAATTTCAACAGGTACAACTTTTGATTAGTATTAGTAAATAAGTAACTAACTAACTTAACTAAGATTACTAAATGGTTTAGAAGTTTTTTTCATTCTTAACTAATGTTAAAAAATGGAACCTTATTTTTGTAGGCGAACACGCTTACCTTTCCCTGTTCTGCTTGCCCTCTCACTAGCTTTGTGTTACATTGTACTGCAAAATACCACACCAGCAGCTTAATTATATTTGAACCCCTCTTTCACACCATACAGCACTTCTGCTTTAGATCGCCCATAAAACACACACTTGACAGTTTTCTTGTTAAGAATACAGTTCATTGGTTCCCTAAATACATGTTTATAACCCAATTTGTTTAATTATGTGATTAGATATGCAACACTCAACATTTAATGATCTTAACTCTCAACATTTAATGATCAGATGGATGATGTAATTGACGACATCATCAGCCTTGAATCCAGCTTCAATGATGACATCATGTCACTGATAGATTCTGGCCTGCAACTCCCAAACACGGTAAGCTGAGCGATCATCTTCATTATTGATGAACACATCCGTAACATTACGGCAATGTTCCGAATAAAAGCCTCTTTGAACCCCAGCTATATTTGTGGTAAACCACCACAAACCATTTTGAAAGCTACAGAGAGAGAATTTCCTGAACGTAAATGTCCCCACCCCTCTTAAGAGTGAGTGCTGACCATTGCACTTACGAGGGGGGTGATAAATGGGGATACACCTCAGCAATCGACATAAACATTCACTTCTAACACTTTACTAACACCTGCCAGGCAGGAATCATTAGGGAGGGCACAAAAAGGACTGTGAACAGAGTGTGCAGAGCTTGCTGGGGCATGGCACGGGATAGAAAGAACTGGTGAAGGATTTTACTTTAGTTTTTTTTTTCTGGAGCAAAGAGTAAAAGTGAATTGACATAAAATGAGGATTTTAGTTTTATTGCGGGAGCATGAAAAGAAAAGAAAGGTAAAATCTCATTCTTAAATTTATTAGCCTTGATTCTTAAAGAAATCCATCTTGAATCGCTGTGGTTTCAAATTAAAATAATGTTGTTATTATAATTTATTCATAATATATATATATATATATTATATATTTCATTGTAATATATAAATACAGAATATTTATATTAGAATGAAATTACATAGTTATTTTAATTAATAATAGTAATGTTATTATAGTAACTTGTCTGCAAGTTGTTTTTTTTTCTCTGTATGAATGAACAATTCAGTAATTTAATTGCATGTAATAATATAGTCACACATTGAATTCTAACACATTTACTTTGCATACTTAAATGACAAGATTTTGCATCAGTTTATTACAGCACATGTCAGTGTTCGTGGAGTTCATTTATAGCCAGGTGCTTGAACAGTAGTATACTTGATGGTAGAGTGATATTTGATTTTAAACGATATATTTTAGGCTGATGTGATCACCATATGTGACCCTGGACCACAAAACCAGTCATAAGGGTCAATTTTTCGAAATTGCGATTTATACATCATCTGAAAGCTGAATAAATAAGCTTTCCATTGATGTATGGTTTGTTAGGATAGGACAATATTTGGCCGAGATACGACTATTTGAAATCTGGAATCTGAGGGTGCAAAAACATCAAAATATTGAGAAAATCGCCTTTAAAGTGGTCCAAATGAAGTTCTTAGCAATGCGTATTACTAATCAAAAATTAAGTTTTAATATATTTACAGTAGGAAATTTACAAAATATCTTCATGGAACATGATCTTTACTTAATATCCTAATGATTTTTTGCATAAAAGAAAAATCTATAATTTTGACCCATACAATGTATTTTTGTATGCTACAAATATATCCCAGCGACTAAAGGTTTTGTGCTCCAGGGTCACATATTACTGTGATCTTTCCTGGTGCAGTTTGATGTTTTGAAGATTTTTTTATTCAATTTCTCTGTTATTGTCTTAGCTACCAGGCAATCTTCTGGATGTCTACAACAGTCCTGGCATGGTGACCCCCACCATCGCCGTCAGCAATTCTTGTCCAGCAGATCTGACTAATATTAAAAGGGAATTAACTGGTAATGATTTACTCAGCCCATCTTCTGTATTTCATTTGTTTCAGTTGTTTGTTGTGTTTATGTATCTACAATATTGTGTGGTAGTCACAATAGCTGTTTATTTTCAGACGTAGATACCAGAGCCTTCATGAAGGAGAGGCAAAAGAAAGATAATCACAATCTCAGTGAGTTCAAAAGACACAGGCTCCAGTAGTATATTGCTTGCGTATTGTCATTACACGGCTTAGCCTCAATAAATGTTTTGCTTTTTGCAGTTGAAAGGCGGAGGAGATTCAACATCAATGACCGAATAAAGGAATTGGGGGCTATGATACCCAAATCCAGTGATCCGTAAGTTTATTTCCTTTTGGAGAACTTTTTTAGAGAAACCACACATAATTTCACAAAAATATACAATACTTGTGAAATGTTTTGGACACACTTGGCTGATTTTATGGCTTATGCTTGAAATTAATTTTGAAGGCTGTGATCAGACTCTTATTGATTTAATTCTCTTTTTTTTTTAATTGAATGGCATGTCAGCAGCACTTGAACCACTGCTATTTTGTTTTAAAATTGACAAAAGTTCAAAACCGTTCAAAAGTTTGGGTCAATCATTTTTTTTCTGAAAATAAAAAATATATATTTTATTCAGCAAGCATGCATTAAATTGATCAAAAGTGACAGCAAAAGACATTTTTAATATTACAAAAGATTTATAAAATACAAATAAATGCTATTCTTTTAAAAATTCTATTCATCCAAGAATCCTGAAAAAATGAGTCACGGTTTCCACAAAAAATATTAAGCAGCACAACTGTTTTCACCAATGATACATTTTAAAATACTTAAAAAAAGTACGTTAAAAGAAGAAAGTAGTTATTTTAAATTGTAATCATATTTCATTATTTTAAATTGTAATATTTCACAGTATTACTGTTTTTGCATAATATTTACATCTTGTCTGGTTAAAATGACAGGGAGATGCGTTGGAACAAGGGAACCATTTTGAAGGCTTCTGTTGATTATATTAGAAAACTTCAGAAAGAGCAACAGAGGGCCAAAGAGATTGAGATGAGGCAGAAGAAACTGGAGCAATCAAACCAGGCTCTGCTGCTCCACATACAGGTATGTGATCGACTGTCATTCTGTATTACAACACAAAGTCCAAACAAGGATGTTCGCTTTTCTGTCCGTACCCAAAAACACATCATCCTTTATCGATCCCATTTAACACGTCACTTCCTCCATTATACAATATTTATGCCTGCAGGATGGCATGAACATGCCATCAACATAAATGTGAACATAAAAACAGTTGTCTAGAAAACTGAACACTGTGATATCCTGAAAAAAAGATGGACTCCAACACCCCCTGCTGTTTGTTGCACACAGGCATTAGAGATGCAAGCTCATCATCATGGCTTTTCCACCACTATGTCTCCAGACCTGAGTGCAGACGCTTCCTTCCTTCAGCAACAGCTACTACAAGGAAACCAGTCCATGCAGCCTGGCTCTGGGGAAGGCCAACCTCAGAGCCACCTTAGCATAGATGGAATCATGACACAGACTTCCCCTTCTCCCTTCCTCACAATACCTTCCTCCAGCTCTCCGGCTGCTGCAGCAGTAAGCGGCCCTCTCGATCTGGATACGTTTAGCTTTGCGGAGCTGGACGACCCTACGGCCTCTGATCTTTACCCTGACGTGGGTTTTAGTGACATTCTGATGGATGATGGCTGCACGATGCCCATCGTCAGGTCTTCAGATCCACTCTTCTCCCCGATGTCCCCTGGAGCCTCCAAGACCAGCAGCCGCAGGAGTAGTGTGACCATGGAGGATGACTTGTGACCGAACTGACTACTATATGTATGTTTCTGTGCTTTTCCTCGTGTGGGACGCCATGGGATGTTTTTAAAGAGATAGCTCACCCAAAAATGAAAATTCTGTCATCATTTACTCATGCTCATGTCTTTCCAAACCTGCATGACTTACTTTCTTCTGTGGAACTTGAAAGAAGGTATTTTGAGAAATGTCTGTTTTGAAGACAGTGGTTACCAAAACTGATTGGTTACCAATTGTCTTTAAAATATCTTCTTTTGTGTTCTGCAGAAATGTAAATTTTTTTTGGTAGACTATCCCTTTTAGAAACACTCCATGTGTTGTGCTGTCATATCTCCATAAAATAGTTAATTTAAAAAATGTACTATAGTATTACACAGTTTTGTAGGCAGTCAGTGAACCCAAAAGTTTATCCCAAATTTGAAACCCACCCAAAACATTAAGCCTTTTTGTAGCTAAAATTTAGGACATTTTATCCTGTCTATGCATAGCTGTGTTGCTGTAAGGGTAGATCATGTGACGTTTATTAATGTTTTAGATGTGTTTTAGACTCTGCATTCAGAGCATGCACGTGCACATATATATTATGATTTTGGAGTGTGGCGTGAGTAGCCGCACCAAAGGGATGTTTTGGAGTTGTATAATAGCATGAACTCATTTTTCATATTATGTTGAAAATGTTCAAGCAATATTTACTGCATATATCAGAAAATTCTATTTTTTAACATTCTTTGCTTGTTTTACTTTCAGCCTAGTACTTGCGTATTTACTACTAACTGGTTGGAAATTTCTACATTTTATTTGTTAGTTTACAACACTTCCTTTTATGTTTAGTTCATTTGACCTTCTTCAATGTTACATTGCTAAACAAATATGTGATGGTGCAGGTGCTCATACATGATTTTTGGTAACAATTTACTATAAGGTAAAATTTGTATAAATTCATTAGCATTACTGAATACATCAGGTATCATGAAAAAACGTCAAATTATTTCTAGTTTTACTAGAAGTTAATTTCTACATATACTAATACATTTTAAAATAATATATTGTAATGCATTCTAAAAATGTATAAATAAAAATTAATTATGGACAATGTATAGTAACAATGTACAGTAGTATATTTATAAATTAACATTTAACCTAGATTAATATATGTTGTTGAAATTGTTGTTCATTGTTAGTTCATGATACCTTATGTTAATGAATTTTGCATAAAGTGTTACAGATTTTTACGATGTGTAGAAGGAAACAAGCCACATAAATGTCATGCACAAATAGCTTTTCAGGTATACAATTTTACAAGCTACCTCTGCCTAAAGTGCTTTTTTTAACCAGTAGATCTAAATCAGCGTTTTGTTAAGATGCAGCTAAATACACGCTTACCAGTGAAGATAAATGTTCTGACAGTAAACTTACACATCTGTATTGTGCTCAGAAATATGACATTAAGACTACTGCCTGTGAAAGCCAAATGAAGTTTCATCTCTGATCAAACTGTGCCTTTAGCGTAAAGGAACAAAAGTCATTTGTTTGGTTTGTAACTATAGAAAAATGAATACAAATCTTCAAAGGTTTAAAAGTTGTTCTCTATTAATTCTGCAGCAATTCAAATGAATGTATAATGTATAAAACAATATGATTTAAAGCTAAATGCAGACTTGTAAAATGTATTTAAAAACTTGAATGTGATTATGCAATATCCCTTTTTTCTATCACAGGCATGGATGTTTGAAGTGATTTAATTATTTGAAGTCACACAGCAATAATATTGTTTTATTGTTTCGAGCGCTGACAGTACAGCCCTTAGAAATAAGCATTAGTGTGTCTTAGGGCATATTTCCACTCATTAAAACTAAATTGCCAGTTATTGTTCTGCTGCTGGTGTGTCATTGCCTTTACTTTCATTACATCTGTACTCAATTAAAGGGAAAGTGTTGTTCCTTTTTTGTAAACAAGGTTTTTCAAAGCACTTAATTTATCATTGAGAGAAAATGTATTTTAATTAGAATCCCTGTGTGTTGGCAGCCTTTAATTGGCTAAAATAAACTGATGAGAATAAATCTGATTAGATTGCTTGACTTTCAAATGTTTCTCTTTTTTTAGAGTTTTCCGTTTGCATATTTACCTCCAGTATCATCTCAAAATTAATTTAAACTGCTAGATTTGATGTGCAAGTGATCTGTTCTAGGTAAACAAATCTAGTACTTATGTATACATTGACTTACATCCATTTCACACAAAGGAGCTTTAAAAGATAAAGACAGCTGTTTTATATTTTTAATTCAAGAACAGAATATAAGATACATCATCTTGCCAAATCATATCATGAATCATTGCATCACACACAATTAGCCAATAAAAGCAATTTATCTTCATAACAATGTAAAAAAAATTAAAGAAGTTGATGAATAAAAAATTTAAAATATGAATTTCAAAGTAAATGAGAATTCTACCTTTGACAATTAAATTTGACCAAATATTGACTCTCAAATTGCAATGAGTTAAACAAAAACATAATATTTCAATATATTCTGGTTCAGGTGACGTAAATGGCATATGCTTTTTTCCCTCGAATGCAGTATCAAATGCAGCCTTGCAGTATCACAGCCACGATCAACCAGCAGATTTACATGCTTGTGAAATCAGCACATTACATTTGCTACATTCCATTCCAGCTTTATGTGATTGTCATGATCAGTATATAAATGAGTGTGAGATGTCATGAGCAGCTAGTGAAACAGAAGCTGAGAGAGTTCCATGCCTAGTTCCAGACACTCAGTTGTCTGTTGACAGAGATCGCAAATAGAGCAGTCAAAGGTGTTTTCTCCACAACTACAGCCACAAGCCTCCATGTATTCAGTGCAGCTGCAACATGGGCAAAAATCTATACAGTCCTCCAGAGAGGAAGGGTCACAACAGCATGCGTTAGAGCAGAAGGATGAACAGATAGAGGCCACGCAGTACTGACATCCATCACCAACGGCCAGCACGCAATCCCAAAACTTGCAGAACAAACACGCCAACAGAAAGGAAGCACACAGATCTAGAAGTGCAAGAAAAAAGCAAAGAATTTATTTAAGATTAAATGCATATTCTGCATTCAATACAAAAAGATAAGATCAATTGACATTTGTGGCATAATGTTGATTACCACAAGATTAATTTCAACTCATATCTGTTTTTTTTTTTTTTTTAAAGAAAACACTGAGGTTATGGTCATGCATTTACAATATAAGTATATTTAAATTTTGGGGTGAACTATTCCTTTAAAGGAACACTCCACTATTTTTGAAAATAGGCTCATTTTCCAACTCCCCTAGAGTTAAACAGTTTTTCGAATCCATTCAGCCGATCTCCGGGTCTGGCGGTAGCACTTTTAGCTTGCTGCGCCCATGATACGGCAGCAAAGTTCCTTGATTATTACGCCGGAATGAGAGTATAGTTCCTAGCCATATCGGCCTAGAAAATCACAACTTTTCATTTTCCGTCGGTCTTAGTACATGATGTAACTACAGAAGTTTTAAAAAATATAGGAAAATATAGAAACGCTTTGGTCATTTTTGAGCGAGATGCTAACGGTCTAATCAGATTCAATGATCTATGCTAAGCTAAGCTAAAAGTGCTACCGCCAGACCCGGAGATCGGCTGAATGGATTCGAAAACGGTAAAACTCAACTGTTTAACTCTAGGGGAGTTGGAAAATGAGCCTATTTTCAAAAATAGTGGAGTGTTCCTTTAAATCATAATTTTTTTCAGTTGTTTTAAGCATTACATTGTCGTGGCAACAAAAAAAAGTTGAATAAAAAAAGTTGTAAAATTGAATGTTACTTTACACAGAAAAGGTTAGAAACTGTTTTTCACAGTAAAATCATGTTAACACACACATTGCTGATGTCTTGTTGCTATACTGTTAAAACAGTGATTGGCCTCATTCACTTCCATTGTAAGTGCCTCACTGTAAACCAGATTTTTTTTAAAGAAAAGGAGGAGCAAGTCAAAATGACAAAGTTTTGTGGTAATCAACAACATTATGACACAAGTGCTGTCGACTGAGCTTAACTTGTATTGAACCCAGCATATTCCATGAATGGCTGAATCACAGACAAAATATTGATGTGGTAACGACAAATAAAACAGCTTTGCTGACAGTGTGGTCCATCATAAAACTGCTATCCTGTTTTGTATAAATTTAAGAGCCTTTATACTACTAATCAGCACCACACCAAAAATGTTTGTTGTGCATCCTCATCAATTTATCCTCATCAATATGATAAAAGATGACAGGAAGAGGGAAAGCTGTTGTCAGGCGTGCTAGTGAGGATTTCAGCATCTATAATGCATAAGATGTCATAAAAAACTGAATCCCTCATTTCATTGAGTCAAATGTAATTTGAAGTGTTGCTTACCTTCAACAGGAGCTTTCAGGCTCAAACGACTCAATGTGGAGGTGGAGGACTGGCTGATTTTGCGATGACGGTGTGTTGCTTTATAATCGGTGATATGTGACTTTTTAAGATGGTTTGTGGGTAGTTGAACGCAGACAGGAAAAGCATCGCTGATGTCACTGCCGGGAGGGTTTAGGACATTCTGAAATGGCTTTTTCACATCTGCTTTTACTTCTTTGATATGCACATCTATTAAAAAAAGGAGACAATACATCTGGAAAGAATCAGGTATACCCTAATAGACAAGATTTTGTTATTTGAAAAAATTTGGTCCCCTTTTATTTCCTTTCTACAAACTTGTGATTTATAGGTTTATTATGCCTTCAGTACCTACTTTTACCACTGGACAGCACTTATGGGTTAAGTTTTTGGGTGGGGGGAAATGTATTTAAAAAAAATTTGTTCATTTATTATTTTCATGACTATTGTTTGTTTTTCATTTTCTTTTTTTTTATGTTTATTTGTTAAAATGTAAGTTTTATATGTTTGTATTTAAAAAAGTGTAATTACAAGTGACTGTCTGCTAAAATTTCTAATAATAAAAATATTTAAACCAAAAAAGGAGACAATAATAAAGTTATATGGATGTTAGCTTAAAAAATGAACAGTAGTGTGTTGGATATTCACCAAATGCTAGCGGTTTTGATTTGCTCGGAGGAGAAATAAGACACGAGTTTTCCTTCCCAGAAAGTTC